ATTTGAATATTATCGAACGAAAAAAAAACTTTGTAGGAAGTAAATAAGTTAAATAACAAAAAAAAAAAGACAAAGAAATAATGTAATAATAATTAATATCTTACAAACTCTTAATTGGCGATAACGATAAATAAATAGAAAAAAAAACCGCATTCGATAATAATGATAACAAAAGGCAAGGCAAAATGTGCAACGTTAATGTATATAAAAAAAAAAAAAAATTTCAATCAATCAATCAATCAATCATTAAATCAAAAAGTTTTAAAAATATAAAAATTAAAATGGATTGATTTGATTGGAAATAACCACGATGGGGAAATGGTGGATCGAACCGAACATATTTATTTGAATTATTTAATGGAAAATTCTAGAAATCTCACGAAAGGGAATACAAACTCACTCTCTCTCTCTCTCTCCCTCCCTCTCTATACCCCTCTCTGTCTCGTAAAAAAATAAAAATCGTTTGTGTAAAAAAAAAAAAAATATTTTTTTAAACTTAAAAATCTAATTTGAAAAATAAAATAAATATGGCGGAATATTAAATAAATTAAAAAACAAGTTTTTTTTCTTTTTTCCCTTTAACTGAATTTTAAATATACATACGGTATTAAAGTTTAAGTATTATTATTATTATTATTATTATTATTATTATTATTATATCGAGTAGAAAAATAAATAATAATAATAACAATTATAATAAAAAAATCGATTAACGATGCGCAAATCAAATCGGAATAAAAAAAAGCGGTTGAATTCAAATTTCGTTCCGGAACGATTCGAACCGAAAAGTAGAAAAGAATATCTTAACGGTTATTTCACTTAACAAATGTAAAAAAAATTTTTTTTTTACGTAAATATATTTTCCGATTTCATTTATTTAAATAAATAAAATCCATAAATCAATAAATAAATTAAATCAATCGATGATAAAAAAAAAAAAAACGTTAAATAAAATAAATTTCAAACAAATAAAACATTTCAAAGTATTAAAAAAATTCCCGTGGTAAGAACAAAAATGGCGGAACGAATGTTCTAGAAGGAAAGGAAAGAAAGATTTTCAACCCTAATGAATATACAAAGCTTTCGTTACGATTTTATATATAAAAATTTCAAGGATAATTTTCATTTTTCCGGCTTTTGAACAGGAAAAAACAGGAATATTTATTTATATTCCTCTTTTTTCTCATTTACGAGCAAGAGAGAGAGAGAGAGAGGGAAGGGGGAAAAAATCATTCTTGCCATTTTTGTTCAAAATCAAAAATCTTACTTACCTACCACATTGAATTAATAATGATGATACATTATGTTAATAATATTAATAATTATCGTTAAAAAACCGTTTTATCGATCGATTTTATACTTTTTAAAAAGAAATCCACGATATTTTAAAAAAATTTGATTCAAATTAAATTAATTATTATACATGAAAAAACTTCTTTCGAAATAATCTAACGTAAAAAAAAACCGTTTCGTATGAAAATCACAACCGAACAACAATCAATCAACAAACACTTTTTTTTATTATGTACATTAAATTATTAAAAGTAAAACAAACGACAAAAATTGTAACCGAAAATATATTTAAAAAAAAAAAAAAAAAAAAAGAAAACCCACGATTCTATAGATTTTAACAATCAAATGATGCCGACTGGATTCGAGTCGTTGAAGCAAAGACGACCATGAGACTCACTTTGATATAACCAACAATCGAGCTTTTTTTTTCTTTTACCCGTTCGTATATTCACAACGAATAAACTTTTATTTAAAAATTACATGGAATTGATATGGTGAAAATGTTCGAACGCGCGTTGTCGTAACGTTGTGAATTTTTATAGATGATGACACCCAGATGAAGTTACATCCAAATTCTCTTTCTTTCTCTTTCTATTTCTATTTCTTTCTCTCTCTCTCTCTCTCGGCGCAAAAATATTAGCAATGACAGCAATTTTTTGCTTCTTGTCAAAATTTCGACAATTTTTTTTACTCGTTTAATAAAAAAAAATTTTTTTTTTAAACCCTTAGATTTTTTATTTTATTCTTTAATAAAATTTTATTTATTTATTTATGTATGTAGTAATTTTTGTTGGTTGTTAACAAAAAATCGAAATTTCTTTTTTTTTTGTTTTCCCGGATAAAAGCTTCTATTTTTTTTCTCCCCCAATTTTACAACCCCTATATCGGGGTTGCAATACAATTCGCAGTTTTTTCCCTTCCTTCCTTTCTTTTATTTTCATTCCTCGATTAAAAATCTTTTTCTTTTTTCTAGTAATTTTAGAGAGATTAAATTTTAACCACCACCATTAAAAATCCCTTTTTTCAATAATTAATAATGACGTCATAAATTTTAAAAAATTTTCCCTAACCTGAAATGCAATTATTATTATCGTAATTAATTAACGTAAAATTTTTAGAAAACCTATCAAAAAAAGAAAAAAAAATGGCGACGAATTTCCCGAAAAAAAAATTAAAATATTAAATAAGAAAAATCCCCTTTATGCAAAATAATGCAAAAACCTTAACAAAATCCTTAAACGTGTGAATTTTTTAATAAAAAAAAAAAAAAAATCAATTTTTTAACTAATGACCCGATGACCTATAAAAAAATTAAAATTATTTAACCTTTTAACCTTTTCAACTTTATTATTTAAAAAAAAAAAAAATTTTAATTTCGTTATTAATTTTATGCAGGTCAATTATTATTATTAATATGCATAATCAATTTGATTCGCGTGCAAATTTTTTTTTTATTTTTCCACGCGAAAAGCGTTTGTTTGTTTGTTTGTACGTGTGTACGTGCGTGTTTGTCGTCGTGGGATTTTCAATTTTCCCACCTACCCCTCCCCCCGATTTCATTCAAAACGATCCTCGTCGTCACGTACATAAAACTTAACCCCCTATAAACAAAATTTCATTCAAAAAAAAAGGCAACGACGATGACAAAATATTTTTTTATTTACACTTAACCTTTGACCTTTGCTTATTTATTAAAAATTAAATAAAGAGAGTAATAACGAAAGGTAAATCCCTTCATCAAATTATTAAACAAAAAGGTTACGAACGCATGAATTTACGTAACGAAAAACAATTTTTTTAATAATTTTTTACGACATCGCGACAAAAAGAAACAAATAATAATAATAATGATGATGATGATGATGATAAAATCCAATTCCCCACTCTTCCCTTCCCCCCTCCTTGGGCATAATAATAATGATAATAATAATAATAATAAAGATCCGCCCGTTTTTTGACATTAAAAAAAAAAAATTTTTTTTTCATTTAATTATAAAATTACGTAATCAACGACGTAATTTACCATCGTTTGCTACTGCTACCACTGCTACCACTACCTACTACTGCCACGACAATTCTTTTAAAAAAATAATAATAATAATAATTTTTTAATTACACGACCTCAAAAATATTTTTTTAAAATAAAATAAAAAAATTAAAAAAAATAATTATTTACTTTTGCGTTTGACATTTTCAATCTTTTCCAGTATTACGATATTCTTCGTTTGTTTGTTTGTCGATGACACTCATTAGTGATTCATTCGTTTGTCCAAAAAAAAAAAGTTATCCCTCTCCTATTTTTTTGTTTTTTTTTTCCAAAACAAATCCAACTTGATTATTTCATCGATTGTTTTCTCGTTTGATATTTTCATTTCGTAAATTATTATTATTATTATTATTGTGTATTTTACGTTACGACAAACGACAAACGTGACTCTTATCATTTTCATACCATTTATTTATTAGTATTTATGCTCCCGTCCTTCAAATCCCTTAGTCACATCTTAGTCCTCTTGTTCGCACGTTTATTTAATTGTCTTTTTTAATAAATGAATAAAAAAACTACACGATTATGTTTACACAACATCATTTGTACAAACAACATTTTCTTCTCTCACAACAATGGTTTGAATAAAAAAAAAAAAAAAAAAAAATGATTGTTGTGGTTGTTGTTGTTGTTGTCGCAATGAATCCAATAACTTAATCGAATCGAGATCATTTTTCAATTCTTCTTAACATTTATCTCGAAACTTTTTTTTCTTTAATTAACTCCATTTATATTTTCATCCCTTATAAAATTTGTGTCTACTGCTTTTGTTTTTCTCCTCATTAAATTTAAAAATTATCATCATCATCATCATCATCATCATCATCATGAGAATTCCGTGGCAAACTAGAAAATTTTTTTTTTAAAAATTCAATTTTATTACGTGAAATAATTGAAAAATAATTTTTTCTTCTTCTATTATTATTATTATTAATTTTTATCTTCATTTTCTTCTTCTTCTTCGCCATTTTGTTTTTTTTTTTCTTTCGTAAATAATATTTATGATAAAAAAATATTAAAAAAGATAATTCTTGTAGCGAATTTTATTTACTAATGACATTTTTGCATGACTTTTATGCCCTTGGTTCTTTGCTGTAAGTAAAAATGACATTAATAATAATAATAATAATAATTTAAATCCTTAATTATTATTATTTTTGTTGTTGTTATTCCTTTCGGTTTTTTTTTTTTAAACATTAAGAATATGATTTTAATATATATATATATATATAAAAAGAAAAAAAATATTTTTAATTAACCTCGTCTGTGTAAGTAAGTAAGTAACTTTAACCACAAAATTTTTCTTTTTATTATTATTATTATTATATCCATACAATTAAACAAAAGAAAAAAAAAATTATAATTAAACTTATCAAGTTAACAAATTAAAATTTATAATGACTTGATTTCCTTCCACTTTTTTTTAAAAGCCATTTTTATGCATTCGAACGAAGACTCATTGATTTGAGAAAACACAAAATATACAACAAAAAAAAAAATGAAAAATGAAAAATTTTTTTGGCTGATGTATTAATGGCGGAATGCAGAAAAGTTTTTTTTTTTTTTTTTTTTTCTCATTCGTTTTGAATGATATAAGACAAAGATGGAGCCTGAAGCGGGCGGAAAATGATTGATTGTGAAAAACAATTAATTAATTCCCTTACGCTTCGTCCTTATCTTTGGCTCCGTGTTTTAATATGCGTGTGAATTCAATGTAATCAAACATTCCATTTTTAATCGGTGCTTCGCGATACATTTCGTCAACCTGAAAAAAAAAAAAAAAAAACAAAACTTATTAGATTCCTTATCACTTTTTAAAATTCGATAAATGTGTATGCTATCGGTAACGACAAACAACAAAAAAAAAAATTAAACAAAGACCGATCGACCGCCCTGTTATTTATAACAATCATTTGACGTAATCGAAAACTTTGGTGTTACCTTCTGTGGAAAAAAAAATCCAAACTTTTTTTTTTTTTTTTTTTTTTATTTGCTTTTCAACTCTTTCAAGTACTCATAATTTAAAACTTTTGACGAAATTTACGACCTTAACGACTTGAAAATTTGAATAAACCAAACAAACACTAAAATAAATGACCTCATGGCCTCTCATCCAAAAAAAACTTTAAAATTTAATATTGAATATATCTGCTTCGTCATCATCATCATCATCATCATCATCTTCTTCTTTTAAATTATAATTTTATTTATTTATTCCTTCATTTTTTAAAAAAGGATCAAGAGTTTAATTGTTCTTTCTAAAGCAAATAAATATACATTCAAGAGAGAGAAAGAAAGAAAAAAAATGATTCTATTATAAATCGAATAAAAATATTCTGGCCTTGTTTTTTTTCCTATCATTGAATAAAATCATTATTTAATGTTTACCATTAAAACCAACAGTCCATTAAAATGTTTTTATTAAAAAAAAAATGTGGTTATTATAGTCAGGTAGCAAGTATCCATCTATTAAATAAATTTTTTTTTTTGTAAATACCAAAAAAAAAATTTGTTTTAAATATTTCATTCCATAAACATTTACACTTACATCTTCATCTGTGAATCTGTCACCCATTGTTATCAACAATTCTCTCAGCCTATCTTCATTAATAAATCCTGTGTTTTCTTCATCGAAACATCCGAATGCATTTTTAATAACTTCCTCCGGATCTGTACCCTGTAATCTTTCTCCGAAAAGTGTGAGAAACATTGTAAAATTTAGAGGTCCTGGAGCTTCGTTCATCATAGCATCTAAATATTCATCTGTTGGATTTTTACCTAAAATAAACCATTTTGAATAAATAAACAGTTCACAATTTTTAGAATTGCTTTTTTTCTCTATACATTTTATTTATATTTTTTAAAAATTAAACACATGAGTTTAATCAATTTTCTTCTTACCCAATGAAGCGAGCATATCGTGCAAATCTTCTTTATCGACAAATCCATCATGATTTTGATCAATCATATTAAATGCTTCTTTAAATTCTTGAATTTGCGCTTGATCAAACATGGCAAATACATTCGATGTAGCTCTTTGAGCTCGTTTTTTTGTGGTGGCTCTTCTACCTGCTGCTTTTCTCGAAGACATTTCGATCTGAAATAATAAAAACTCATAATTACTATCATGTAAATAAATTTACATTAACCTCAATAACTCATTTCTATTCAAAATCTTAAATAGGATTAGTAAAATGATGAATGAATGATGTTTCATCAAAAAATTAATAATGAAAATTTCCAGGGCCCAGACAAAGATGATGATGTCACTCGGGCTTTAATCTTAAATAGCCTAAATTATATTTATGAAACGCAAAAACATATTTGAAATATGTCATCACTTCACTCAAATATACTACAAAATCAAAATCAAAAAACTAAACAGTTACTGGATATTAATTTGACAGTAATATTAAATACATTTTTGACTAAAAATTTTACCTCTTGTTTATAAAATAATAATGCAACCATATAAGGTTATAACCAAAAAATTTATTGCGATTACATTCGAACAAATAAATTATTAATGCCGTTTAAAATAATTGATAAAAAAAAATATTTTCAATAATAAATTAGCGTGCAATACTTACGATTAATTAAAAAAAAAAAAAACAAAAATGAAAATAAAAATAAATAATAAAAAAAAAAAAATTGCAACTTTTTGCAGGTTTAACGAAATAAGATTCGTATTAAATGAATCACGACTCACTCACACCCAACGTTCGACCTGCTTCCAACGGATATTTTATGTACTAAAAAATTTCACTCGTTTACATTAAATAAAAATTTCTTTGAAAATTAATTTACGATAATAATAATTTAACTTAAAAACAAAAGAAAAAAGGTTTAAAATTATAACAAAATCGATCGTGAATAATACTAGAAAGTTATTAAAATTTACATCCATTTTTTTCATACCATACGGTATGGAAGAACTTGAGCAGAAAACATAACCAAATATGGCGGACGAATTAATAATTAACCTAATAAGGTGAAAAATTAACTTTCTTGATGAATTTAATAATTGACTGTCATTACATTTAAAAAATAATAAATTAATGAAATAATAATACTAAAAAAGTATAAGAACAAACCTATTTAAATTTTCTTTTTGATCCAAATTATTATTTTTAAATTGAATTCTTTTGTTGAGTGACACAATTAACAAACAAATAAAAATTTTCTTTTTTTGTGTCTTTTGTTTTAACAATCTGGAAACAAACAAACAAAGAAATTATCTTTAAGAAAACATATTAAAAATAGCAATAATAATTTAATAAAAGAATTGAAAATGTCATATTAAATGTCAAAAATTTAATAAGAAAACAACAGCCTTACATTGAAACAAATTCAAATATATATTTTTAGTTTTATTTTATTAATATTTAGTCAAATGTCCTTTTTATAAATCTTTATAATCTCTTTTATTTAACTTAATCTAAAACAAAATGAGAAAATATCATCAAATTAAAATAATAATCTTCAATGTTGATTACAATCAATGTAAAACACACACACAGTTAATAATTCTTATTTATTAAAATCAAAAACTAATAAATTTTTAAAAACTTTTAAAATATGATTCTCCTAATTTCAAATTTAATAAAACAAAAACCATTTTGTAATTAATTTTTTTTAAAATTCGAATAATGATTAATTACTTTAAAAAAAAAAAAAAATATTGAAAAAGTTTTTTTTGTTTTATGTTCCGCCATTTTGATATAAAATTAAATAATTTTATTAACCAACGTTTTAAAATTAACAATAACAAAAACAAAAAGAAATTCAAATTATTTAAATCGTTTTAATATAATTAATTAATTAAAAGAATTAAAATTGTTTTTCTTACTCACATAAATTTTAGGCAAATAACCGTAAACTAACAAACCGTCCAAACAATTGCGATCGTGCCATGTTGCCACCTTCCAAGCTTTTCGATTACTTACTCCGGAAATGACGTCATTAATATATAACGGTCGTTTAATAACGATGACTGTATAACGGGAAAATGTTTTATCCGTTTTGGTTTTTTGTTTAAAATTTTAAATGACGTCATCATATATTTATTTAGGAGTTATAAATAAATAATAATTTAATAACAAATAATTTATTTAAAATTGATAGTAGTAGTAATAGTAGTAGGGAAAGTATTCGATTTTATTTTATACAATTTACAATGAATAAAGCATTTACAACAGCATTATGTTTTCAATAATTAAAAAAAAAAACAACAATTAATATTATTTAATTACAAAATTATTATTATTATTACTATTAATATTAATAATTATAATAAAATCGGTAAACATTTTTCATTAATTAATTTTATATAACTGTTTTTATATGAAAAAAAAAAGATGATTAACCGTTTTTGAGCAGCCATTTTGTAAAATAATTTTAAATTTTTAATATGTAACAAACTTTTGTTGCTTTTTTTTTTTTATATCAAACGGTTTTATTATTATTATTATTAAAAAAAAAAAAAAATCGTCACAACCAATCAGTCGAAAATAATAAAATTTAAAGTTCATCAGTATTACTCTTAGCAAAAATTGCGAGGTTACCTCTTTTTAAGACAACAAAATGTTCTTTTCTGAACGGTAGCAAATACGACGACGACGACGACGACGACGACGACTACCTTTTTTCTAATTTACTATTTTTTTAAAAAAAAAGTAATTTTCTTTATTTTAGGTAACAATTGGGTCTCGCGTTCACCGGACGGCAACTCCGTTAATGGTCACCATATTTCTATTTCTTCTACCAACTGGTGATGGTTCGTAGTGTGAACCATCGGAAGAAACGCTTCTCGGATGATGTCTCCTCCTAGAATCTTCGTACGGCGAATCGTACATTCTATCGTCGTGAACGTTTTCGTACATATTTGGCAGGGGACCGTTATAACCCCCGTTTCTGTCCGTCAGTGTCGAATATGACATGGCTGCCGTACCTTGTTCCTCCTTACGTACGGCACCTTCAATATTTTCCGTATTTTTGACGGGAGTCGCTTTCCTTCTGTTAAAACCAAATTTTTTTTTAGTAAAAAAATTTATTTGTTAGGATTCGTGGAAAGGATTTCACACTTACAATCTCAAATAGACTAGACCGAGTATGATGAGAAGAAAAATAACAATTCCGGCACTGATTCCAATGGCAAGTGGAAGCGTTTGCGAAGCTTGTCCTTCTTCCGGCATCACTAAAAAATTTTTTTTGTACAATGAATTGCTTTCAAAATGTCGGTAAAATTTCATTTGTGTGAAACTTACGCTCACAACGTGGTTCTTCTCCAGACCAAGTCCCGTCTTCCATGCATTTACGAAGGTACGGACCGATTCTTTCGTACTGAGGTATGCAATGGTATTCGACAGCGCTGTTGTAAGTTGTCGTACCGTTCATAACAATAACCCTTCCATTTTCTATCGAACCAGGATGCTTACAATCCACAGCTAAAAACGAAAAAAAAAAAAAATTACCAAAAAAAAAAAAAAGGAACCGGAAGGAGTTTTTCTTCTCTTAAGAACACTTACATATACAAATCGGAATTCGTCCACTCCAGGTTCCCTTTTGTAAACAAACTCTCGTATTATTTCCCTCCATATTTTGTCCAGTGGAACATGAATAATGAGCAACTCCTCCGACTTTATTACTCGTCACGTGAACTATCATACCTGGTTCTCGTTCGGGTGTACCGCATTCGATTTCTAAAGAAAAAAAAAAAAAAATATTTATTTAAATGTAAAATTTGAGATTAAGGAAAATTCATAGCAGGCTGTGATATTACCTTTACAAAAAGGTGTTTCAGAACTCCAGGTACCATTTTCCAAACACAATCTCCTTGCGTGACCTTCCAATTGATAATTTTCGTCGCATTCGTAATGTAAAGCAGCTCCGTAGTAGGTCACGTTTGTTGCAAGGGAATATCGACCGTTTTTAATATCTTCCGGCATTCCACATTCAACATCTGGAGTGAGAAAGAACAATATTTAGCCCCTCATCAATTTCGTAACTAATTTATCGGTGGATGATTTTAATTTACATACAAACGCATTGTGGAATTCCTCCACTCCAATTTCCGGTATCTTCACAAGTACTCAGAGATTCACCGATAATTTTGTATCCTCTTTCGCAACGATATTTCACAAGAGCTCCGATTTTGTAAGTCGTGTACGACTTTTCCGAATCCGATGTTCTTATCAAAGTTCTTCCATAGACTCTGTCGTTTCCCGTAACCGAAAGAATGCTATGTTCTGCAACGATCGGCTCTGGACATCGAATTTCTACGGAAAAAAAAAAAATTATAAAAGGCACTCGAACCGATTTTAAAAATATAGGTATGCTATAAAACACGTGACACCTCACCTTCACATTTGGGCGAACCCTCACTCCATTGTTTATTTTCCATACAATATCTAACAGATGGTCCGGCCAATCTGTAATTTTTCACGCAACTGTACCTAATTTCGCTTCCCAAATAAGTTGTGCTATTGGTATATGCAACAGCACCGTAAAGCATTGGAGGAACTTTACCGCAGTCGATAACTGCAAACAAACAAACAAAAAAAAAATTTATCGAGATCATTTTATTTGATGTTCTCATCAAAAAAAAAAAAAAATTTGGCTTACATTCGCAAACCGGTGGAGATCCAGACCATTCTCCAGTTTGCGTGCATTGATGAGTAGACTCTCCTCTTAGTATGTGTCCAACTTCGCAATGATATTCGATATTCGAATGAATGTTAAAATCGTAACCTACGACGTAACTTCCACTTGGTACTTCCGGTTCGTCGCAAGTGATTACTAAATTTTCGAAACGAACACATAATTATCATTACTATTTTTTTTAAATTGAAATTAATTCGTATATTTGCGCATTTTGGACCTACGTTCGCATGATGGAGCATCCGCAGACCATTTTCCCTCTCTCGTACAAATTTGTTTTTTCTGTCCTTCCAACCAATAATCATCCGAACACGTGTACTCGACAATGCTTCCGAATGTTGTCGAGTCGTTGAGAAGTGAATACTGTCCGTTATCTATATTCGGAGGTGCTCCGCAATCGACAAATTTACATGTCGGTGCTTTTCCTGACCAGTCACCACCCAATCCGCACGACAAGACCTAAATATGGGGGAGAAAAAGAAAATTTTTTTTTTTGTTTTGTTATTTTTTAAAGTAAAATTTTTTTTTTCTCGTGAGAATTTATTTACCGGACTCCCGAAAAGTATAAAACCGGATTGGCAGGTGTATGTTGCAACCGATCCTGCACGTCTACCACTGACTTCGACTTTTCCACCGTGAACGCTGGGCGGTTCCGGACACCAGTCAACTAAAATAAAATTTAAAAAAATTTTTTTTTTTTTTTAATCAGAATGAACTCTCTCGAGGGCAAACGAAAAAACGCAAGCGAATAATTTGTGTTATTTAATAACTAATAACGAGGTTGAAGTTGAAAAAATATTTGGGTTACTCACCGAACGGCTCCCCATTATTATTATTATTATTATTAAACGTTTTAATTACTTGCAATTATTCACGTTCAATTATTATTATTAGTTTCTGGAACGTTGAAACCGCGTTTAAAAATTTATTTCCGTGTCACGAATTTTTTTTTTTTTTTAAAGAACTTTCGTGTCTTTAGAATTTCGATAAAACCTTTGATTTTTTTTTTTTTTGGTTGTTTACTGGAGTCGGTACTGATTAAAAACTCGCATTGATTACGATTTATTATTTGATGATAAAAAAAAAAAAAAAAAAAAAAAAAAAACTTACGAAGACATTGCGGAACTTGTTCCGTCCATTCACCACCGTCACCGCAAATTCTTTTTTCCTTTCCTATCAGAGTATAATTTTCGTGGCACGAATAAATCGCAACGGCTCCAAACGTGGTTTTACCATTTTGAAGTTGTACCGATCCGTGTTCTATACTTTGCAACGGACCGCAATCGACATCTGGAAAAAAAAGTTTAATTTTTTTTTTTTTTTTTGGAAAAAATTATGGAAAAAGTTGACGATGGGAAAAATTTTGTTCTTACATTTACAAGTTGGTGCAAAATCCGACCAAAATCCTTCCGGAGTACACGTTCTCGTCTCCGAACCAACGAGCATGTGACCCTCTGGACAATTATATTTAATAACAGATCCAGAATTGTATCCGTTTCCTGTTATCGTCGTATTTGCTTCCTTGTCCGGACTTCCGCAACCCGATGGTTCTACCGTAAAAAATTGATTTATCATTAGAGATCATTCGACGAAGAAAAAAAAAAAAAAAAAAGAAAAGTTTTTTTTTTTTTTCCAGTCTTTCCAGGGCCTTAAAAAAACTTTTTTTAAATTTTTTTTCTTTTTTTTTTTTTTTTTTTTTTTTTAATGCTCGCCTGAGCATAAAGACTTTTTGTTATTATTCGAGTAGAACCGTTTTTTTTTTTTTTTTAAAACGCGATTTCGGCGGCCGAACAAAGGAAGAGAGAGAGAGAGAGAGAAAAGACGTGGAATTTACCAAAATAAATTCACAAGAAATCAAAACTTACGATATTGGCAAACCCAATGAAGGTAATCCAAATTACATCCCACGTCGTTCCATAACCAATTTCTACCACCGTCTAAAACCGCACAATTTTGTTCGCCGTTGTAATTGTTCGGTTGATCTTTACCCCAAGATGGTTTCGATACAACTTGACCTGTCACGAAAATTTTAATTGAAAGGCATTTTATAAAACAAAACAAAATAAAGGATGACACACGCACTCACGCACGCACGCACAAACTTGACTACAAGTCAGTGCACTTCGTTGGCATAAATGATCTTTTTCATTTTTATTATATAAACACAACATCATCGGCAACCCAAAATTTTATTCTTATTCATGCAAGAATTCATATCGAACGAATGTGCATATAAAAAATGATTTTATCATATCATATAAGCGAGTTGAATAACGAATGAGTGCCTTATATAACATAAAAATATAATAAATTTTATGTTTCTTTTATTTCCAAAAAAAAAAAAGAAGCATAATTCTGTCACGTAGTCAAACAAACAAGTAAACAAACATAGTTTCAATTTAAATTTTTTGAAGGTGGTAGTAGTAGTAGTAGTTGAGGAAGTTGATGTGATGTCAAGTTCTTGAGTTGAATTGTTCAACAACCACAACAACAACAACGACACTCCTCGAATAAAAAAAAAAAAAAAAACATTTACTCACCGTCCACCCATTTCCACGTTCTCGACGTTATTCCTTCGTCTTTTTGCACTCCTATCCAAACCAATTGAGTTTTTAATTTTGGTTTTCTTCTTTCGAGTTCCGACAAGAGAAACGTGTTTACCGGTCCTCCTAAACCGTGTATTAAATCCCCGCCGTGATTTTTACAATAAGTTCTCGCGACTTCGAATGATCCACCCTTGGTCACGCTAAATTCGAAACAAGTTCTGTCGAATGATGAAAGATCTGCATCGGCGGACGCACCCGGCGGAGCACAACGATCGCTTGAAAATTCTGTGAAAAGATTGAAAATTGAAAATTTTAAATGGCGACGAATCGTGGGAATAGTTTTAACCCCAACAAAAAAAAAAAAACAGGGGAAAAATTTTACCGCCTGTTGAAAAAACTTCGACTTCGCAAAGGGAAAGAGAACCGTCGACTCCGACTAATTGAAGAAAAACAAATTGACCGATTAATGTTCTCGCACAAGTAAAAGTTTTTGTTATTCCTTCTTCTGCAAAAATAAAACAAAATGTTTAAATTTGAAATTTATAAAAAAATAATATTATTATTATAATTCACGATTGATTTCCGTTTTTCCCTTCCTACCTATCGTTCCCGGAAACCAAGCGCAAAGTGGATTTTTTTGTAAATCGAAACTACTGTTACCCACTCGGATTTCAATATCTTTAAGTGGTTGATGACCGCAACAACCTCTTGTGGTTACTCTTACCACTTTTATGGGATAAGGACGAAGAAGGTCAACCTAAAGAAAAAAAAAGAGCATAACATTTTTATATTTTCTTCTTAAGCGTTAATTTAAACCCCCCAAAAAAAAACATTTATTTTCACTTATACTTCTTTATTTTCAAAATATTCCCAGGAAATTTAAAAAAATTTCTTGTTCTCCTCCCACGTTTATTAGCTAACAATTACCAAAACACGTAATTTATTATTTTAATCGCCCTAGATTTTAATTTTTTTTTTTTTTTATTAAAACAAAAGGAAATAATAATAAAATGTTTTTCAAATAATACCTGCCACCAAGGTGATGCTTCTTTTAACGTTTCCGTACATTGTTTACCATCGTGAATGGTCGATTTTTGTCCGTCATTTCCATTACCCGCATTTCCACCTCTGACCGTCGTCGATTGATTTGCGGGTTTACGAAAAGCAACGTTCGTACCTGTGTGAAAAAACCCGACAAAAAAATTTTTTTGTCGCAAAAATTATAAAGCGATAAATAAATAAGATGCTGCCACGATTGATTGAGAAATTAACGCTTTCTTCGCGAATGAAAATTAAGAAATATTAATTATGATGACCACGATTAAAAACTCACCGCAAAAAGGTATTTCATCCTTCCACGTTCCATCACTCAAACACGTTCTCACAGACGACCTGAAATTGTAAATAAATATGATAAAATCATACGACGACGAGATGAGGAGTGGGGAGAGCGAGCGGGGGTTGTTTGTATTTTTTTTTAAATGAACAATGCAACGTGGCAAAAGAAAGACAAATAATTTCTTTATTAACTTTGAACAATGTGTAATTTGTAACAACGCGAACTACTTACTTATCCGCCTTTTGCCACGTTAACAAAAAAAAAAAAATTAAATTAAAAGTTTTTCGTGTGGGCACAAATGGTAACTTTGTATTATTAGACTACAATGTTAAACGAAAATGATTTTTAACGGTTTTTTTTAAAAATTAAATAAATTAAAAATGTTCGAATATACTTTCAAACACCTTGAAATCCAAATTTTTTTTTTTTTTAAAATCCATCTTAAATCTTTATTTTGACAAAAAACCCCATCTTCTTTTCATTTTTTTAAATATATATATACACGGACGTAAAACTCACCCGAACAATTCGTATCCAGGGTCACATGTGTAGGTTGCCGTAGTACCTGGACTTAAATTCTCATTTGAAAGTTTAACTTTTGAATTTAATGGTACGGCTGGATGCCCACAATTTAAACCTGTAATCAATTATAGATAAACCGGTTATTGCTTAATATATATGTATGGATGGTGGTCAACTTCATCTTTTGATGAAAAAAAAAAAAAAATTGTGTAAATTTAATGTAAAAGGTCGGTCGTCTGTTGTGAAGTGACACATAAGGGTTTATATTTTTTATTAGGGTCATATTAGAATGCCACAAAAGTGTATTTAATTGAGGAGTCGCCATTTAAATTATTTTTTACATTCTGGTAAATTACTAGGTATTACTTAAAAATTCATTCATTCATTCATTCATTCATTCTCTTTCAATATCCGTACTAATAATAATGATGATATTAATTAACGTTTTACGTTTTTTTTTTTAATTTACGCAATACGAAAAAATTAGAAGGTATTAAAAAGACTACTTTCGACTACTTTCCTGCGACCAAGAAAATTTTCAAACACTTAAAAAGTTTTTCCACGAGTAAAGAAAATGATGGAAGCGAGGAATTTTCATCATCGTTTAAGCTAAAAAAAAAAAAAAAAAAAAAAAACTTAACCGGGTCAAATCGAATGAAAATTGTTTCGAGCAGAAGATTTATACACTCGAGGGAATCACACACGAATATTATTATTATTATTATAAAAAAAAAAAGGTGAACGAGAATATAATTATTTGAAAAACTTATTTCCCTATATAAATCAATTATTATTTTATTTCTTTTTACAGTTTTTTTAACATATATTCATCTTTAGTATTTTTTGTACGCCATTTAAACTTAAAAAAATTTTTTTTTATTTATTTATTTGTAAACTTTTTTCTCTTTTGAAAAACTCGTTTTTAAATGTCGTTAATGATTTGTGACAGAAAAAAAAAAAAAAAATTTTTTTATATTACTTTTATAAATGCATGAATTATTAAAAAGAAAATTCGATGAGGTTGTGTGTGTGTGTGTGTGTGTGTGTGCGTGTGCGGGTGTGTAAAATCCTCTAAATTAAATGAATAAAAAATTAGGAGAATATGGCGGTTCGTGTTAATCTTAGGGTCACGTATCGGATAAACTAGAATTTTTTTTTTTTTTTAATTATTCACACGGAAAATTAAGAAATTTTCTTTTTTTTTTTTTCTTTTTTCGCAATGTAAATCCTTTCGGAATCGTCGCACGAAATTTTTTGTTACGCAATTTTTTTTATTATTTTATTTTATTCCGAAAGGTTTTACGAAAAGTCCTTTTCGTATTTAAAGGATCATATCACGTATCAATAAAATTTTTATAAAATCCTTTTTTACGTACGTTAGTCAATGTAGAACAAAGGAATTGACAACGCGAAACGTTTTAACAAAACGAGGATAATTTAAAAATAATAATAATAATAATAATAATAAATGAAAAACGTGTTTCGTGAAATTTTCACACGTTTGTTTTCTCCCTATTTCTCTCTCTCTCCCAATCCATCAAACTAAATTAAGGCCATGACTATTAAATAATTCTCTTTGTCATTTTTGTAAAAAAAAAAAAAACAAATATGGTTGACACGAACGACAGTTTTGAAAATCAAATTGCTCAACAGAAAATATATATTTATAAAATCATGCCGAAATGACTATTATTATTATTATTATTATTATTATTATTATTATTATTATTATTATTACGTGTCACGTGAATTTTTTATTATTATTTCGAACTGTAATTCGTTACATTTTTATTAATTTAATTTATAAACGAAAGGAAATAGGAGTTTTGAATAAATAATAAATAAAAATTTTTACCGCGAATTACAAAAAAAAAAAAAAAAATGGCCGATGGTTTCGAATGCCGAGCAGAAGATTTTTTTTTTTAAAAATAGAATCCGAAAATTGTGACAAACAAAATAACAAACGAATAAAATTTTATTAACAAAGTTTCATTTCGATGACAAACAAGTACAAAAACATTTCGAATGTTGATAACCCACGTAGGGTATACATAAGAATAAACATTGCGGACATGAAATTTTACCGACTTGAATAGGAGGGGGGAGGGCAGGAGGGCGAGAGGAGGAGGAGGGTTGTAAAATAAAACAGTATTTCATTAAAGGACCCGTATAAAGTTTAAAAGGTGTGGTTGTGCTATAAAAGCACGACAAACAACGACTGCAAATACGCCGTAAAAAAAAAAAAGACAAAAAATTTACAAAATGCCACACAACCAAAAGAAAAAAAAAATTATTATTATTATCATTACTACATACGTGATCAATTATATACAAGGTATAAAAGGTATCAAAAAATGTATATAATAATAATAATAATAATAATAACTGTAGGCACGAGGTTAAATTACCGTCACTTTTTTTTTCTTTTTACTCCCACATTTATCCAAAAATAAAATAATTGATGCGGCGTCTTTGAAAAATGCTGGAGAATTTCGTTCTTTTTTTTTATCCTAATATTTACTCAATAATTTTCCAGCAATGATGGTTTTATTACAGACTCCATAATGGCAAAACAAATTTATTTATACTTAAAAAAAAAAAAAAAAGCGATTCCTTTTCACCGTTTTTTTTATACGAACGCGAATCGAAATAAATTTTTTCTTAATGTCCGCCATATTTATTTTATTTTCATCGTTCTTCCAATAAAAAAAAAAAAAAAAAAGTTTGCGTGTACAAAATAGATAAAAGCCCTCCCGCCCTTCCCCCAAACCACTTTATTTTCTTTTCTTTTTTTTTTTTTTCTTCAATAAGAAAATTGCAAAATTAATATTATTATTATTTTAAATCCTATTTGCTTTTTCTTTTCCATTCAAATAAAAGAAAAAAGTATTTAAAATACGATCGAATTGGAACTGAAAACGAACGTGAAAATAGAAAAAAAAAAAAAAAGAAAAAAAAAACGATAATAATGATTCGAATAAAAAAAAAAAAAAATCGTTAACGATCGTAATCATTTCAAATTGTTTACTTCCCCTCCTTTTCCCCGCTCGCCCCTCCCATCGGAACACTTTCCTCACGAAAGAGGAAGTAAAAAAAATTTAAAAAAAAAAACGCGCGTAAAATCGTCGTTCAAATCGCCCCCCATAAGTCGTAGAAAGGCAAAAAAAAAAAAAAAAAAAAAAAATGACCGACTCAATAGTAATTAAAAATAAATTTTAATAATTATAACGACGACGACGACGACGGGAAAATGTTCAGAAAAATAGCAAAAAAAAAATGTTCAGAAAAATAGCAAAAAAAAAATGTTCAGAAAATTATAGATTATAGGAAGGAAAAAGAGAGAAAAAAAAAACGAAAGGGAAAATTTAATAATAATAATAATAATTTTGTTTTCCTAACGAAATTGTCGCAAAAAAAAAAATTTAATTTTCTACGACGCGTTAATATACATTACGCGGCGTTGTACCTTTATTATTATTATTATTATTATTATTATTATTATCATTATCATTATCATTATTATTATTATTATTATTATTATTATTACCATCACAACATAATGATTATTAATATAATTATAAAAATTTTAATTTCATTTGATCATAAAAAGACGATTTTCATTCAGGAAAAGCTAATAAGAAATTAAAAATAAAATAGTAAAAAAAATTTTTTTTTCTTTTTTTTAATACCGGAAATGGAAGTGAATGAATCGTCGTATCCGGTTAATTTTAAATTTTCTTTCGCGATTATATTCATATTAAAACTTTACTTATGGTTTTTAATTACCCTAATTTTTTATAAATTATTAAATAAATATTTCGACGTTTCTGTAGGATTTATATTTGTTCTTGTTTGTTTATCAAAATAATAATAATAATAATAATAATAATAATAATAATAATAATAATAATTTTTAAAAACTTTCATTTTTTTTTTTTTTTTTGATAAACTATTATTGTAAGGATAATAATAAATTTTTTATTTTTATTTTTTTAAAAAAAATTAACTTTTGGTTGTTTTTTAACTAACGTTATTTTGCAACAAAAGGAAAAGTAGTCGTAGTAGTTATGGTTATTTTACTATCTAAAAATTTGACTTAATTTTTTTTTTTTTTTTTTATGTTGGTAATAAAAAATAATAATAATAATAATAATATTTCTCAGGTCTCTCGTAAAAAAAAAAAATTTTTATTTTTATTTTTTTTTTCAAATTTTGATGGATTTCGATAAAAAAAAAAAAAAATGTTGCGTATGATGATTGCCTTGAATTTCTAAAAAAAAATTTGGTTTTTTTTTTTTTTTTTTTTGTAACCGAAACGCACGAAAATTATAATGATCGAAAAAAAAAAAAAAAGAAAAAACGCGGCGTACCGATAAAAAAAAAAAATTTACCGTTAATTACCACGCGAAAATCATTATTATTAATATTAACCAAACGTTATAATTACGATATGTAACTACTAATTGTTGCGTTGTTGGATAAATTTCCCCCCCCCCCCCATAATACCAATAATACCTATCCGCATTCATTACTTTCTCTTTTTCTCTTTTTTTTTACATTCAGGTAGTACATCCCCTTTTGAAAGTGATATACTCGTAAATACCTTCTTTCTTTAATTAACGACATTTGAAACATGAATTCGAACCGAAACCATATCCCTTCTCTCTCCCCCACATCTCCTTAATGCAAATTTAATTTGTATCTAGAAAAACTAATTATAACGACTGAGAATGTGCCTGAAAATCACATAAAATCAAAGTTCATCAAAATGGTAGATGATAGATCAAAGCTATAAAATTTTTTAAAAAATAAAATGTGAGAATGAACTATATTAGAGAACTAGGAAGTTTTTTTTTTTTCTTTGACGTAACGATCTATATATATAATTATTAATAAACGATGTGTAAACATTTAAAATGACATTTAAACTTTTTACAACTGATAATGACGTCATTAACATTTATCAGTGTGATTGACCTACCCTAACCCATGCACACACATACACATACACACGCGGGACGAAAACGAAATCGCCGTTTAAAATTTATTAAAAAATACGTTAAAACAAAATTCGTCGCGAGATTTATCAAACTACTAAAATAATACCAACTTTTGAAAAAAAAAAAAAAATTACATTTCCTTTTTTTTGCGTAGAAAAATTCAAAAAGTTTTACATTAAATAAATAAATAAAATAATTCGTAACACGATCGATGGAGTCTCAAACGAACAAATGGAATGATAATAATAATAATAA